AATATTTTATTAATTGTTTTTTTTGGGTCAAACAAAGTTTGTTGGTTACAAACTCCCATCAATTTATTGGAGGTTTTTTTTCTTTTTTTTTTTAAATATGTATCTGGGCATTTTTTAGATTATGTTTGGTCACAAGATAGTTGTTGAATGGTTTGTTACAGAATGATTAAGTAGTTACAATGATTTAGAGGCTCTTATGATATAATGTAAAATGAAACATATTGTTTGGTAATTATTTACAACGAAATTAATGTGTTGAATGGTTAAGAGAATTTCAGGATACAAAATCATTCAGATGGTTTTAAAACCATTAAGAGACGGATTTTTTTTTTGTCAAACAAGATTCACCTCTTAATGATTCAAAGATTGTCTCTTAATGGAATTGTTAAGAGGTAAACAAACAACCACTTACGTATATCACATTCAATTATTTTTCTCAATTTACATATATATGTTCACAGTCACGGAACATATATACAAATGAGTTATATATAGATGTGAATAGATTAAAAATATGTGTATATAAAGAGCATACGTGATAAGGTAATTGTCTAATGTATATATTAATATAAATTCAACAATCATATTAAATCAAATAAATAAAAGAAAATATCAAGTTCATCTTGTTGGGTTGGTTCAAATAATAGTAACCCAATACCTACAGTTTGAAATTTTTACAACTCGATTAGACATCGGGTTAAGTTATTTCGCGTTAGGTTGATCGGGTTTTTAAGCACCCCTAGTGGCGGATTCATAATTTTGTCCAGAAGGTGCATTTTTAGAATGAATAAAAAACCTATAAAGTTGTTTGTTGTTTTTTTAGCCGAATTCCACCATTTTGAAGAACTTTTGTAAGCTTTTTGGTTGATTTCAATGGACCCCCCCCCCCTTTTTGGGATTTTGTCTCTTGGTTGATTTTGAAAGACTTTTTATACCGGAACACTGCTCAAAGTTTAGCAGATACACCTTTTATACCCCAAAAAATTAGCTGCACACGACGCCCACGGGCATGAATCCACCTTGGTAATGTGATTGATTGAATCCTTCCGCTTTAAAATAAGTGTCTACATTTCTATTTTTGTTTGTCCCAAAATAAATGTATAATTTCAAAAGTAATTGTTTACTTTCTAATTCCACCCTTGATTATTGAATGGAGAAGCTCATTACTTCCTCAATTATCAAGGGTAATGAACTGTTTGACAGTTGCTGAATGATTTGGTGCAAAATGATTAAGTGGTCAAAATAATTAATGGATTCTCATGATATAGTGCGAAATGAAATACAATTGTTTGATAATTGTTTACAATGAAATTAGGGCACTGAATGGTTAAGGGATGTCAGGATACAAAATCGATCAGATGGTTTTAGAACCATTAAGAGGTAGATTTTTTTTTTCCAAACAAGATTCATCTATTAACGATTCAGATGCTGTCTCTTAATGAAATTATTAAGAGGTAAACAAACAACCCCTAAGAAGTATGGATAAGTTGTATCAAATGGTTGATGATGGAAAAAAATTATGAGTAGATAAATAACATATTCAATGTTAGAATAATATTTTAATGTACTAAAGTATCAACCCGACTAACCCATACGGTTTGGGTTGGGTAAGATTTTTCAAACCGCAAGCATTAGGTTGGGTAAGATTTTTCAAACCGCAAGCATTAGGTTGGGTTGTTCAAATGTCTTCAACTCGAACAATCTAACCCATGAACACCCCTATCCGCCACTGCACGTTACCTTTTTTTTGTCAATATTATGGGTATTTTATCGCATGCATAATCTCTTTTTCGGTAAATATTAAAAAAAACCCATGTTACATTATACGGTTTTAGAAAAACAATGTACATGTACGTTACGAATTCAATTTCACTTTTTTGTTATTTACTAATAAAGAGTAAACTACAAATTCGGTTCCTGTGTTTTATCGAAAAATAACACTTTTCGTTCTTTAGTTTCAAAATTATAAGATGGTTATCGTGATTTACAAAAACGTCAGGATTTGGTCACTTTTTTCCAACGACCTTTGTTAAATTAGTAGCATTTTCGTTATTTTGTCGATTTTTTTGTCTTTTACTAACCAAGATCTAAATGTGTTTTATTATGGTAAAAGACAAACTAAAATAGGTAAAATTACGAAAATGTCCCTCTTTTAACGAAATTTTTGACAGCCACTAGAGGAAGGGAACAAATTCGGATTTTTTTGTAAACCACGATGATCATTTTGTAATTTTTAAAACTATAAAGATGAAAAATGTTGTTTTTGACAAACCAGAAAGACCAAATTTGTTGTTTACTCTTTACTAAATTGTTAAGATTATTCCAACAAATTTTTTTAAAGTTCTTCAAAATAGGAAAATAAACTTTAAAGATTCTCAAAAGATCTCTCTCTCTCACACACACACACACACACACACACATATATATATATATATATAACTTAAAAACAACTTTCAGAACGATCGTCTGCTTTGCAGATAGCCCGGAGTCACCACATTTGAACTTCCGTGGCCACAAGGGAATTTTTATTTTTCTTTGGATTTTAACATGGAACCTCCAGGTATTTTTGATCTTTGGAGTCAAGCTCAAACCAATCAGACATTACAAGACGTTGAATATAAATATTTTCCCTAATGTTTAAAGCAAAAATGTGGAATACAACAAAAATTGAAGCGAAGAAAATTAAATAAAAAATTTATTTTATTCTATATGAATCTCTCTCTCTCTCTCTCCGTGTATATATATATATATATATATATATGGACTTGGGATCATGTGAGACCAAGAGTTTTTCGTAAGACCCGTAAGACCAATTCTCAACCCTTGGATTAGATCTACAATCGTCAGATCTGAACATTCATAAACGCCACGAGACTTCTCAATAATTATAAAATTGTCACCGTGCAACTTTAGACCATTATATCATTAACTTATAAAGTTGATCAATGAACATAAATTGGTCTTACGGGTCTCACGGAAAACTCTTGGTCTCACGTGAACCCAACCATATATATGTATGTATGTATATATAGGCAATAAAGATCGTGTAATGAAGAGATTTAATGTGAGAATGGTAAAAAGGGATTTGGACCCTTCATCTTGGTGCATATTATCCTAATGTGCATTTAAGGATGAAGATTCATTCTTACGCTTGTCACCTCAACTCTCATTCTCATCGTAACCATCTCTCTCTCTCTCTCTCTCTCTATATATATATATATATATTTATCATTTTGGTATTGTAAAAATATTTTGTAATCCATATATAAAAATATTAAATATGGCGAATGATCGTGTGAGAAACGAAGTTACAGTGAAAAAAGTAAGAAATGATCTGAATCCTTGATCACTTTTAATTTCATGTCCACTCATGAATTACGTTTGATACAGAGATTAACCCAATATATCTCATACTAATGTGCATTTAAGGGTGAAGATGCGTTCTTAGGCTTCTCATTTTAACTCTATTTTTCATCAGAACCCAATCCTATTAAATGTTACAATGAAATAGAATATATTTTATACTTCTAAATATTACAATATCCATGTATCATCTATTATAATAATCATTATATATATATATATATATATAAGATATTATATATTATATAAATTATATAGTATAAAAATAATGTATAAATAATTTTAACTAACATTATTCAAGTATTTAGTTGATTAATTGTCATTTGTTCATATTATATAATAAAAAAAGTTTAAAAATCATTTGAGGGGTAATATAGTCATTTAAAACTTGTTTAGTCATATAGCTACTCGTATTAAACATTGATCGTACAAGATACAACTAGTGCAGTCTAGTTCAGTGTTATCTGTATACCAAAAGCACCCTTAAAAACTGATTTGTGCAAAAACAGTTCATAGATCGACAAGTCGACAACCCTCGAGCCAACCTACACTATCCTGCTCCAAAACATCATGTGAAAGACAAACCACGTTTAATTGTTGTATTTGACGTATATAAATATTATATACTTCAAAAAAAAGTTTGGAAAACTACGATTAATATTGTTTCAAATATCAAAACTATGTTACGTGTTTGTAACAGGTAGAGATGCATAAAAAAAATCCGAACTCAAAGCTTTGTCACGGTCTGTGTCCGTCCAACCCGAGCCTATAAAAGCGCGAGTCTTTTTGCTCATTGAAAACTGGCTCGTAAGGTTCAAGCCCGCCATAGACTAAAAAAAGCCCATGCTTTGTGCATCTATAGTAACTAACAAAATCTTTAAGTTGGCCCATACTGTCCACCCTTAAAAGACTGTAACTCTCATATTGTGACTGATAAAGGCTGTTTAACAGTTGCTGAACGGTTTGGTGCAATGATTAAGTGGTTGGAATGATTAAGAAACTCTCATGATATAGTGCAAAATGTAATATAATTGTTTGGTAATTATTTGCAACGAAATTAGGGCGCTGAATGGTTAACGGATGCCCAATATATAAAATCATTCAAAGAGTTTTAGAACCATTAAGAGACAACTTTTTTTTTTTGCCAAACAAGATTCACTTATTAACGATTCAGAGTCTGCCTCTTAATAAAACTATTAAGAGGTAAACAAACAACTTCTTAGACTTGAACCATCATATTTTTATATAATAATACCACTTCAAAACCACATGTGCTACATCATAGGGGCAATATGCTCAATGTTGATATGTGTTCAAAAAGATGGCTATGATTTTCGATTTGAATATTTTATAAACCAATTAAATACGGGATTAGATGGAGTTAGGTTATGCGGTCTATTTTTCGAGTTGGATTATGCAGGCTGATTACCGATAATACCAACCAGTCATACAAGGAACCCGTCTTCAAGAACACCAATGCATGGAAACATTTTTGGCTCACTCAGCAACTGAGGCTAACGGAGGATTCTTGATCAGAAAGATCGGTAATTTCAGAATGTTTTGTTGTAATAAAAAGAAGAAATGCCATATTTGAAAACATATAAAGCCACGTGTCCAAGACAATATCTAATGGAAGAAAAGATTTCAGTGGTCATTCAATTTCAGTCCAATCTCATCAGCCATGGCGCCCCTTTCATCTCTGCAGTTTCAGTCCTTTCCTCCTCATATTACTCCCTCTTTTACAAGTCTATTTACACTCTCACTCTTCTTTAAACTTTCATATATATATATATATATATATATATATATATATATATATATATATATATATATAATACATACAAAATATCTGTCTCTATATGTCTTAATTCCCTAGGGGGGTTTTTGACTTTGATTTCTTCAGGATTCAAGAAACCCCATGATCAAAATGTTATCTTCTGCAAGACCAATCAACAAGATCTGGATTTATGGTAATTTTAATTTTTAAACCCTAATTTCTTTGAATATTTTTATTCATTTAGAGGTATTTCTTCTCTGCCATTTTCAAAAATTTCTAGGGTTCCAGCATTTGGTTCTTGTTACAAAATGTAATAAACCCACAAAACCAAAATGTTAATCGACCCAAATGAATATGGTTTATTGTTCTAGGGTCAGATTCTGGTAAACTGTAAAAAAAAGGTAACCATTCATCCGGACAGTATGACATGTGCATACAAGTAATTTGTAAACAGTTTTATGTGCATACAAGTAATTTCTAAGCAGTTTCTGGTATGCACATGTACAATAACATAGCACACGTGCATAAAAACCAAGAAACAACTTCAATTTCTTGTATGCATGTATCCATACCTACCTGATGAATGGTTACTAGGGTGTTGCTCAGTTTTTCATTTTTTTCAGGGGTTTCCTTAAATCTCCGTCTATTGTTCTAACAGGGATTTAAGTATTGTTATTGGTTTTATTTGTTCTTTCTTGCCTTTTTTATGCAGCTTATCTATTGAAGATCAATCTCTGAAAGTTCAAAGAAGGGATCTTTTGTTACACACTGTATTTGGCTCATTATGTCTACCTGCTATGGTTCCATTTGCATTTGCAGAGGAAGGTAAAACTCCAATTTAATATATTTATATATTAATTTTGAAATCATCATTATTTTAACTATTAATTTTCTTTTATTTTGCTAGTGGTGCCAGAGGGTTTCCAAATTTACTCTGATGATGTCAACAAGTTCAAGATAATGATTCCTCAAGGTGAACAATGAATTGTATTGAATTTGCTATTCTTTATTAAGATTAAGTCATTTTTTTCTAGCTTTCTTGTGCAGGCTCTTAGGGGATGTTTGGTTGATTTTCCATTAAGTCCTGTGTGGATAAAGTTGTCTTTGTGAATTAATCTGTATAGGTTAGAAAGGTTTTTGTTTGGGAGGATTTTTTCATAGATGGAAGAAGTGTGTTTTAATTGGGAGGGATTGGTTTGGGAAAACTTGGCTTTCTGCATAAAGGTCCCCCTTAGAAGTTTTCTGAATAAGCCACTTTTTATATCATTAAGCTATTACCAAACAATCATGTATAGCTGATCGAATAAGCTGAGTCCCATTAAGTTCATTAAACTGCTAACAAACAGGCCCTTAGTGTTCTTTATGAACTTGTGGTTCTTCTTAGAGCCCATACGAGGTTGGTTAAGAAGATGCGCAACGATTGTAATACATTTGGAGTACCCAAAAAATTCATTTCTAGTTGCGTTTTGTGCGTGTAAAGAGAGTTACCGGTGAATTAAGACAGAAATGAGTGTTGTGGTATTCTGTCATTTGGATAACTTCAATAAGTCTAGTGACATACTTAAAGGCTGTTTGGTTGTTTTTTCGTTAAGCCCTGTAAGCTGTCTGTATGGATTAAGTTGTTTGTATAGATTAGGGTAAATTGTTGTTTGTTTGTTTCTTTTGTTGAAGATGCCTAGGATTTCTCTCTTGTGGTTTCAATGAAAACTCGATATAATTTGTGAAGAAACTATGCATAGTGAAAATGCTAAAGGGTAGGTCTGACTTCACTACTTATATGTCAAAGAATGCGATGGTACATGAATGTTTAGATGTGACGGGATTGCTGAAAGCAAAAATCCCTCGGAGCTTATTGAAACACTACTTGAAGTAGTTTTTCAAGAAGCTAGCTTATGGATATAAAAGGAGCCTTTTTCAATAAGCTCAAACAATAAGCTAGCTTTTTGAAAAGCTACTTCAAGTACTGTTTCAATAAGCTCCTGGGGGCTTTTCGAAAAGTGGTTTCTCGCTCCAAAACTAAGTCAAGAGTGTCAAGTTAAGACGTTTCTTAAGAGATGAATAGACGTCTTCTAAATAACTTGATACAATTATGCGAAAATAAACCAACCATTTAACCTTGAGCGCCTGCTCAACTGACGAATAAAGACTAGGCCTTGGGACTCCTCCCATTAAGACCACTGGGGATTTTTCTGACTGTTATCTTCAGGATCCATTGGAGTAGTCGAGGTGCACACAAGCTGGCAAACAGATAGGATGTTAAAAATATTTTGAACTTGTAGATTGGCAAATAGGAGGAGGAGAAGGCAATGGATTCAAATCAGTTACTGCATTCTACCCTTCAGAAGCTTCTAATTCAAATGGTACACTTTACTTCTTTTTACTAGTCATCTATTTGTTTGGAAGATTTTTAAAAACTCATCCAAGTTTTCGGTTTCTTTCAGTCAGTGTAGTGATCACGGGGCTTGGTGCGGATTTTACCAAGTTGGAATCTTTTGGCAAGGTCGATGCTTTTGCAGAGAACTTGGTACGTTGGCAATCTTTTTGATTTCGATGAATATTTGGGTGATTTAATAGAAAAAATTATCGATAAGAGCATCTTATTGATAGGTTAGCGGATTGGATAGAAGTTGGCAAAGACCCCCTGGTGTTTCGGCTAAGCTCATCGATAGTAAAGTCACCAAAGGTATTTGCTTCTATTTTCTATATAAGGACATAGGGGAAAGTTCATTTAGGAACTGTAAATATGTTGAACCCTGAGAACCAACTATTCATGAGGAATATGTAAGTATTCATGATGAATATCATATCTTCTTGTGAATTGTTCATGATAAATATACCTAAATATTCATGATGAATATCATGCACTTTCATCATTCATGATATTCATCATGAATATCTATCACAATATTCATTATAAATAACTCATAAAAATTGTTGGTTCTCATGGTTCTCAAATGAACCTATCCCTAGAGATATAATGTACACATCTTGCAATATCATAGTCTTTGGCAGTTTTCGTTCTACCATTGTATTTTCCACTTCTCTTTTCCCAGTGAGCGGGAGTGTAGAATAGTCTATGCAATAAATTGATGTTCAAAAGGCAAATGCACGTATATAAAACCAAACAAACACAATATATCAAACCTATTAGACTTGGAGGTAAGATCTAGGGATGAGATGTACACCGACTTTCCTCAGCCTCTTGCACATATATAAAACCAAACCAATCCAAACGAGTCCTATATATCGTACCTGAAGATGGGGTCTTTTTTCTTTGAGTGTGGGAGAGATGTATGCAGACTTGACCTCTATACTAAAAAAGAGAAAATGAGTAGACCAACTATTTGTGTAACGACCTTGGCTAGTGAAATGTGTGTGAAAAGTTGAAAAACAAATATGCCAAAAGAATGAAAAGCTAGATAAGAGTGAACAACGACAATAAAACTAGAAAGAGAAAAAGATAAATATGCTGAATATTTATTTGAGCAAATGGCAACCCCAACCGGCCCTACATAGAACTCGCCCTTTAGGAACCATACGTGAAGAGGCATTTTAGAGTTGACTCGGCTAAATATTTATGATTTGGAGCACTAATTTATCGTTAAGAACATGGTGAGTATTTTTGAAAGTAGAGAGGTGTATATGAACATCCAACTACTCTGTCTTTTTCTTTTTGGGAAAGGTGTTCCGGGCTATGCCCAGACTAATCCCGGTAAATTACGACTGTAAGACATCAACCCTGATAAACTTAATGGTTATAATTGTTGTGGACGTCTGAAATTGAACCCAGGGCAGATGGGATATTCCACCACATCCTATGGGCCTCAACTACTACGCCACAACCGTTGTGGTTAACTCGGTATTTTATGCCATTTTCCTCCATTTTTCGTATCCACCATCACATATTAATTTTTTCCCACCCCATTTGCTCCGTCCTTTTTGGGTATTTTCTCAACGTAAGTTTTCAAGTGTTGAGCTCTCGGAATATTGATATATGTTCGACAATCGGGCAGGTATGTACTACATAGAGTACACACTTAGGAATCCAGGAGAAAGTGAAAGACATTTGTATTCGGTTTTGGGAATAGCGAACAATGGTTGGTACAACAGATTGTATACTCTCACAGGACAGGTTCGTTATGCACGTTGTGATGGTGTATAAATTAGAGTGATTTGGTCCTCACGTACGCTTTTCGTGTTTCTTGCTTGCAGTACTTAGATGAGGAATCAGAGAAATACCGTTCAAAGATCGAAAAGGTATGCTAGATTTCAGTATATCTGTTGCAGGCACAAACTCTACCATAAAAACTCTTTGAATTTTGACTTAAAAGAGATTTTGTTGACCCCCTTTGTTAGATGCATGATGTTAGATAATCTAACTAATGAACGGAAGTTCTGTTAGGAACCCAAAATTGATTAAGAACCAAGGAACTGTCCACAATGCGCCACGTGACCCTCTTCAAGATGAATATTGATCATGAGTAACGTGTCTTGCTGTGGGCGGTTTCTAGGTTCCCAATTAATTTTAGGTTCCTAACGGTAACCTGCCCCTGCTTAAATGGACTAGTTTTCAACTTCAAGATTAATATCAAAACCTTTTAAGGTCAACTCAATTTGCTCATTTCCGTTTTCTGGATCCAGTTTTTAAGGTTATATAATGTAGTTCATGGTTTCTAATTATTCCCCAAAGAAGGGATGCTTAAATGGACTAGCTTTGACCTCAAGATTGATGTCAAATCTTTAGGGTCAATTCAATTTGCTAATTTCCATTCTCTGGATCCTGTTTTTGAGGTCTGGAATCTCAAAATGGGACTCGAACTCTTGTGATCATTTAAACAAACATAAAATTCATGACAAATGCTACAAACAGAAAATTCTTGGTACTGCATTTGTCGAAATCCAGACCTTCATATATGTATATATATAAGGTCAGGTTCGGGGAAAATCGAAAAAAAAAAATGAAAAACTCATCTTGATTGTATTCATATGTGAATACAAGTAATTTGTAAGCATGTGCATAACATGGACACGTGCATAAAAACAAAGAAACGGTTTCAACTACTTGAATGTACATGTGCATGTCATACAAATGAACAGTTACAAGGGTGTTCCTCATTTTTTTCATTTTTTTCATTTTTTTACCTTCAACCTCCCTCCCTCCCTCTCTCTCTCTCTCTCTCTCTATATATATATATATATATTCTCTCTCTCTCTCTATATATATATATATGTGTATATATATATATATATATATGTGTATATATCCTTTCCAAGAAACTTTGGTGATTTTGCTTTCACTTGCAGGCAGTTGCATCATTCAAATTAGTCTGATAAGATATACCTGCAAGCATTGGTTTAACCAAAATCATGATGACTGTAGATGATCCACAAGCCAGGTGTGTTGTAAGTGATACATCAATCACTCCAGATAGGGCCTATTTACCTCAATGACCTTCTCTAGGATCTGGTTTTCCAAAAATGACCCTCCACTGTATTTCTAAGTTTTTACAAGAGCAAACTGTTTCCAACCAGATACAGGTCAAATGAAGATCATTGAGCTAAAAAAGAATTTTAAAGGGCATGCTCCTAATTGAAAACTCATTTATCCAAAAAAAACCCTGTTCAGCTGTCCTACTATTTTTCTTGAAACATTGGGTGCCTAATTCAGATGTCTTATTACAGGGAGAAGTCTAAAATCACAGATAATCAAAGCTTCAGTACCAAATGCAACAAAGATTACCAGTTCAAGAAAAGCAAATGAGAAAGATGGTCACATGATAAGAAGAAAGAATTTGATATTCTAAGTTTGTGATGAATTTGTCACTTTTAAATAAAGCACAATTTCAGCTACAGAAGTTTCTTAAATCTTCAATCATGTTGTGCATTGCATCTACACTAATCAAAACCCTAATCACAAAATCAAGATGGAAATGAAAGATTATAACAAGATTCAAGAAGTATTGTACAAGTCAAGATAATTCGGTTTTAACTTTCTGTTCCATACTTTCATTCCCGTCTTTCTTGTGAAACAAAAGCGTTAGCTGATCGGCAAACAGCAGATTCTGCATTTGTCGTAGTTGTTGCCATTCTCTCTCCATTTGTAGTTCAAGCTCCTCGAAACGAACAATCTTATCATGGATATTCTTGGCCTGTAAAAATCCATAAACAAGATTTAGAGCATGTTTGCTAGCAGCTTAATAAGATGCGCAACTTACTCGGTCAGTTATACATGGTTGTTTGGTAGTGACTTAATGATATAGAAATTGGTTTATTCAGTAAGCTTCTAGGCAGAGTTTTATACAAAAACCGAGTTTTTTTTCCAAACCTGTCCCTCCTAATTTAAAAAACATGTTCCTTCTCCCAAACACAAACCTTCCCAGTTTATATAAATAAATTAATCCACACTCACAACTTTATCCATGCAGGACTTGATGAAAAACCAACCACAGAACCCCTTAGGGCCTGTTTGTTTAGCAGTTTAATGAGCCATTAAGAGCAATTCTACCTCAATTACTCCCATTAACGTACGATTATACCAATTATGAACCATTAGTATCATTATAGCTCAATTAGACTCAAATAGGAGAAATAAGCCCACGATACCCATTGAGGTCTAAACAAACAAAATATGACTCATTTAATGTCATTTTGACCCAGTTAGACTGCTTATGCAGAATTGGGGCCATTAAACCCATTAGG